AAGGTCGGTGGTTTATTATTCTTTGTTTGAAGATCTTCAAATCCAAATGGATTAGTGCCTTCATGCACAATCCATAGAAGATCTCTTTGTTATTTAGATGTTTTAAGAGTCTTTTAAAATCAAAATGCCCAAAGTCCTCCAAAAGGAATCAAACTTTAAGCATAGAAGACCTGAATTCGTTTAATCTAAAGTAATTATCAAATCTGATCGATTAAGATAAATCTTAATCAATCAAATTATTAAACTAATTTAGATTAAAGGAATTTAGAGTTTAATTGAATAATTAATGAATTTTAATTAATGATATTCAGAATTATTAAGAATTAAAGGTTTATTGAATTATTAATGATTTGAAATTGATTTAGATATTTGATTTTTAATTGTTGGTTGAATACCACCTTTGTTTCACATCGAGTCCGTGAAGTTTATTTCACTTTCTTTGGAGCTAAGCTAATAACCTCGTAGGCCTGGGTTACCTAGTGTACCCGGTATAATTAAGTAGCTTAAATATGATTAATGTTGAAAATTAATGTACTTTATTCAAAAGAAGTTTGATTGCTGAATTTAAGAGTTGATTTAGCATTTCTGAAGTTTTAGAGCAATTTTTGAATTTTTAGGAATTATTGGAATATTTTAATCATTTAATCAAGGGGTTGAAAATTGACTTTTTATTTAAAGGTGTTTTCTGGAAAGTTAGTATTTTATTAAAATATTAGACCTTAAGACGATCAGTTAGAAGGTAAGTTTGCTGAAATTGGATTTTTCTGGATTTAGTTATGAAGGTTTAAAGTTTTTAACTGATTTTGAACTATAGTTGACCGTTTTGTTGACTTTTCAGATTTGATGATTTTATGGAATTTTTACATTTTTAATAAATATTAGGCCTTATTATGAGTTGAATGCAACTTAGTTTGATTGATTTAGATTTTTCTTGAATTAGTTATGAATTTTTAAAGTTTGAGCTATTTGTTGGATTTTTGAAAATTGTTTAATTAAGGCCCTTTTTATGATTTTGCTCCAAATCAATTTCAAACTTCTTGAAATCAACTCCAAAGATCAGGAATGACCTAAAGAGTGATTTCCAAGTTTTTGGGAATTTATTGGAATTTTTAATAATTATTAATTAATTAAATCAATTAAATGTTGAATTTTACTTAAAATCAAATTAAGCTTTAATTTGCTGTCAATTAAAGGGGGTTTTAATTTTTATTGGTTAAGAATATAATTCTGGTCAATTAGAGGGGTTATTTATGATTTTTAGATTTAAAATGGATTTATTATATTTTCTGGAAGTTTTAATGTTTAATTAAGGATTAATTGAATTTAGTGGGATTTAAGCTTTGGTTTTAATTTTGGAAGGTTGTGAGTTTGTTTTAGGGTTGATTAGGATTGATTAGGATGTTTAGGGATTTTATTTTGATTTATTAGGAGTTTATTAAAACAAAAGAAAAAGATCCTTATTGAAGGATCATCCTAAATCTACTAGTTGTTATAGGATTAATTAATGTCCAATCAAGGTGTTTTAGATCATTGGGTACATGACACTAGTTCTCTAAGTTTGAGTTTCATTCCAAAAGGAATGGTGTGTAGTTCACCTAAATTGATCTAAATTCGCTAAAACACAAATCCTTAATTATTGTTCCTAAGTGTCACTAGGTTATGGGATATAAATCAATGTTCACTAACCCTTTGAAACACTAAGTTACAATCACATCAATACAAAACATGAACAATAAAGGTGCTCCTAATGTTCTATGGAATGAGAATAGTGAATTATTGTAATTATAGGTCATTTGATGACTTATAACTTGAACAATTTACTATAAAGGGATTGAGACATCAAATTAAGATGATATGATTTTGGGAAATATACATGTATGGATATACACATCAATATCTCCAAATCAAGAATCAACCTAGTTTGATGTGATGATCAAGTATAGTTCCTTAGCATATTTAAACTAGATTAAACATAATATTAAAGGTAATTTTTAATTAAACTATACATGATCAACATCTAGACCTATTGTTAGTGGAAGGGAGACTTCACACTAACTCCATAGAACTCTAATATGCAATGATTGGATTTAGTTTGGGTTATTCATGAATTTCCAAAAATCTAAATCAAGATTTGACCTAGATCTTTGTAAATCCATAAACTGAATGAAATTGCATCAGATGGCCTTAAGAAAATTACAGGAGATCAAACTTAGGCCCTATTATGTCTCTGCCAAATTTCAGCTAAAGATAATATATATATTTTTATTTAAAAATAAAATGGGGTTTTATGTATAATTAAGATTACTAATAAAATACTACTTAAAATAATTTTCAGTTATTTTTAAAGTATAGTATTTAAAAATACGAAGAGAACGAACCCAAAAACTCCAAAATCGGATCAAAATTGAAATTATGGTGAATTTTTGAAGTTTAGGAGATTTTTTGAATTTATTTTAAAATTCTAACGGTCTGGTCAAACCGGCGGCGCTGACTGGGACACGCGGCGGGAGCGGGTTCGGCCACGCAAACGGCGGCGGTCAGGAGGGACCCGCCACTTAACCAGCTCAGCAGCGATCTAAGCCGTCAGATCGGTCACAGGGAAACATCGGATGGTCGGGATATAACCTGCGATATAGAACTCGATCCAGAATGATCGGACGGTGGATCTGATCTCCGCGGTTTGGATCAACGACCGGGATTTAGCCCATCAACGATCTGGCTAAACCGCGGTCGAAACGGAGCTTAAGTGGGGTTTAATCACAGCTGTTGATCGAGATAGAACGGATCCAACGGCTGTGAGCTCGTCTCCTTCCTCCGTCCGAACCGAGAACCCTAAAATCATTTTTATTTTTGTTTTCGCAAAATACCCAACCAAATGCTTTGAAAATTTAAACAGAGACTTAACAGGGCTTGAAGATCAATGGGGAAGTATTCTTAAGTCGTTTGATGCAATACTTAGTGAGTTATTTAAGAACCTAGAAAACAAACTAGGGTTTAGGATTTATTACCGAATGATGGATCAATTGAGTTGATTCTTTCACGGCTGAATTTGTAGGTTGTCCACGTGTTGATCTCCTTCAGGCTTCGGAGGATCACTGTAGATGGAGTTGGGGGAAGTTTGAACGGAGAAGGCTCTCGGTCAACCACTGATCTCGTCGCCGGCAGCTTCGAAACACAGGAAACCGATGGGGGAATGAAGGTTGAGCTCTAGGAAACCAAAATGAAGTCTCAAGAGCTCTGGGGAGTGACTGGAATGCAAGATAGCTTGGAATGAGCTCTTCCCGCCTCTCTACCCTATTCCAGCTATGGGAGTTTGCTTGGACGGCTGACATCAATCAGGGACGTTTCTGGGATGGTTGACACCTGGCCCAGGTGGTTAGAGCATAGAGAGAAGGACTGTACGGGGCAGGCTGAGCTGGCCACCCCCTCGTTTGTCCTCACATGGGAGGGGACCATCCGAGCTGGCTAGGCTTGAACCAAGGTCGGGTTAGGTCAGGTTAACTCCTAGGAAACTTCTAGAGTCGGGTTCAGAGGCTAGGCAGACCGGGTTTAGGCTGGGGAGTTTAGGTTGAGTGGGTTGACCATTTGAAATGGTTTTGGAGATTTTCATTGACTGGTTTGACCAATTAATGAGTTCAACCTGATGAGGAGGATTCTAGGAGACTTCTGGGATGTGTTTGGACAGTTGGATTAGTCCCAAATGAAATGGATTAAATTTGGGAGGGTACTTGACCATGTTTGACCCCTTTTTCAAGCTCCCATTGACTGTTTGACCAGTCAATGGGTCAATGAAAGCTGAGGTGGCAGTGAAGGAGTCTAGTGAATTGGTTTGGAGGGAGTCTTACACCATTACTTCAAACATTAAGTGTGTAAATGGAATTTAGGGAGGATTTGACCAAGAATTGAAGTTTGACCAAGTCAAACTTGATGTGATTTGACTTCAAGTAAGCTTGAATAGATTTGACTCAAGCTTTGATATTGGTTTGAGAGATTGAAAGGGTTAGATATGTTGAATAGGTTGCCTTAACCCATTAAGGGCTTTAAGGGACATCTGGGTCAACCTAGGTTGACTAAGTCAACCAGATTGACTCAGGGTGGGGGTCTGTACTGGACAAATTTGAAATCATATCAGGAATCTGGTGGGTGTGTTTTCAGGGCTCAAATAGGTCATTTGGATCAAATCACCTATTTGGACCCTTAAATAGCTTCTTAGGTCACTCTGAGTTGACTTGGTCAACCAGGTTGATCCAGGGGTTGGGAATGGGTCCAACAGGTTTGAAATGTCATTTGAAACTTGCTGGAAGTGGTTGCATTCAGTTTGGAGGTCATTTGGTTTGAAATGACTATTTACAATCCTCAGGGGCATTTTAATCATTTTGACATCGGGTCTACTGGGGGTAGAAGTGAGTTCAGGAAAATGCAGTTTATTGATCAACATGTCAGGATTGATGGTCTGGGAGTGATTGGAAGCTTTGGAGGAAGCTCCAGGGTCAGGATCCACTGGATGATAGGTCCAGTGTCTTAGGCCGTAAATATTTGAAGATTTTGCAGTCTTTGGAATTCAATTTAGTTTCTGGGTTTATAGACCTTAGAATGGGCTCAAATTTGGAGGGTTGACTCTAGAGACATGTCCCATCAGTATGAAAATGCCAGATCTTGAATCAGAGTCCATTTGATTGGGTTTTGAAGTTTTGAAAAATTCACTGGAAAAGGTCTTTAAGACTAAGCCTTATGACCTGAGATCTGGGTATGGAATTGGATTGACTTGATTTTGGATTGATTTGAATTTGAAATAGTTTTAGGATCCCATTAGAGACCTCATACAAAAATGAGGTCAACATATACCTAAAGACCTTATGGTGTAGTTATAGTTCCCACTAACATATTCGAGGTGGTATTTCTCTTATTTGTCCATTTGATGGACTTATAGCCATCTTGCCACTTTTTAAGCATTGTTACTATGTTGGCTAATTTTGGTATTCTTTATATTTGTGCAGCAGAAGAATCTGAAACAGATGGTGGGGATTCTGACGTTAGTGGTTCTGATGGAGATGACACCTCATGGATCTCATGGTTTTGTAACATTAGAGGGAATGAATTTTTTTGCGAGGTTGATGATGAATACATACAAGATGATTTCAACCTCTGTGGGCTAAGCAGCCAAGTACCTTACTATGATTATGCTCTTGATCTTATTTTAGACGTTGAATCTTCTCATGGTAAAATTTCATTTACATTGGACGTCTTTGTGATCAGTTTACTTGCTCAAAATTAGTAGTAACTGAATGCATAGTTTGTTTGTCTGACTACTACAGTCAATTCTGCAAGTAATTGGACCCACAAAGTGGATTTAACTTTCTGACAATAGATTCGCATATTAGTTATGTAATATCTATGTTTTATTTTTTATGATAATTATCAAGACATCATACATTTCATGTTTTAGAAGTGATTGAATTTTAGTAATACCATGAGTAACAATGAAGTAATACAATTATTTAGCTCCTTCAAATCAGCATCTGGGTCTTTTTTCTCATGAAATCAAAAATAGAAATCATGCTATATAACGGTGTTCCTATGTGTCATAATAATTTTTTTTTTCTCATATTAGTTTTGCTATGTAATTTTTTATGACACCTTTATAGAGCAAATATTAAGTTCATAATGATATCATCTCTTGGCCTATTTCATATAAAGGCGTGCAAGGTAGTTAGCTTCATTGATCTTTGCCAACTCAAATTAGGACAAAATTACATCTCAAATAAACATGAGAGTCTAAATGAAGGTAATTGTTAACGTATAAAAATATCTTATTTGGAAAATGATCTATATTTGATGAGTGGAATATGTCAAATAGGTGTGCCTTAGAATGTTGTTCTCATTCTCTTATTATTTATAGGAGGTTCTCTAGTGAATAAGGTACAGCAAATTATCCTACTTCTCTAATATGGTATCAAACCAAGGTTAATTCTTAACCCTTGATGTCCCCACACTCAAGAAATCCCCTCCCTTATTTGACTACTAGCACTTCTCTTTGGTCCTCCCCCTACTTGCTCTGTTGTGGCATGCGCATGTGGTTGCTTTCGCTCCATAAAACACCCATTTACTCGCACCCGCTGTTGCTTGCGATCACGCATGGACCCCTCGCTTGTTCATGTGCTTGCTTTCATTGTTGTTGGCTGCTAGCCCAACACCACAGCTACACGTAGACGCTATCATTTACCTACTCACAAAGATTTACGTGCTTGTTGCTATGTTATTACGACATGCTGAAATGAATTATAAAATTTTAACAAGGATTTAGTTTTGATCTAGTATCGAACGTGCAATATACGATACACAAGAGGGGGCGGGGGTGAATATGTGTAATTTAAATTCTAAGCAAGCAAGTTTTGAACTTGAAAAAGATTTTTATTATTTTATAAAAATTAAACCTGCAAACAAAAATTTTATTTTAATTTTCTTTTCAGAAGGAACAAGAGATTTCAACCCAATATTATATTTTTAGGATAATGGTTCAACCAATAAAAAAATCAAATTGATTTTAGCCATTTGTTTGTATCACAAAATACATATATTATCAACACAAGGTAACTTGAAAATTCGAAACCATTTTATCATGTGAGAGAATAAACAAGATGTCCATTATCATCATGCCACAAAGAGAATCAACAAGAGCATGTAAATATTTGAATTAGTGGTATGAAAAAAAAGGGATAAGAAAGGCACAAACTAATTTTATCATGTTTCAACATGAATGCCTACGTCTACGCTTGAATCCTCCTACTCGAGATTTCACTACTGTCTCCTTTGACCACCATTGGGCGGATAAACTTCTCTCCTTAATGGGAAATGAAGAAACCTTGCACCTTTCTCTTCCTCTCTATCTGGGAACTGCTACTCTAGCCCATTAGCTAGCCACCAAATCTAATGTAAGCTTCGTTAAGGTCTCATGGATCCCTTATAAGAATATATCAATAGCTCTTACAACAACCATAACAACTTCTCTAGATGATATAAGATTTAGAAGAAAGAAAAAGACAAACAAGTGCACAAGCTAAAAGAAAAATATCAATATTTTTCAAATAAAAGAAAATAGATTTTTTCAATAAAAGTTCTTTCATTTCTTTTGTCGATTTCCATCCATTTTATATTTTCACTCATATTTTATGGTTTGAAACTATTAGGTTACAAATCTAATTTTACAAAAAAATAGAGTTAAGTGATATACAATATGATCCACATCATACTATATGATAAGTTCAATTTAAATCAGATCTCATCTGCCCATAATTCCAGGTGCTTAATTAGCTTTGTTTAGGAAACCTATCGAATAGGCTGAGCTCGCCCAAAGGCCGGCTCAAGTCTATAGAAGGTGGACTAGTTCCGCCTCCTCTACCGTGGCCGCCCAAAGAGATGGGTCCCACCCATCCATTTAATTTCAAATTTCAATTGAGGGGGACGGCTAGGGCTTTGGGAGGGAAATTGATTAGGAAAATTTTGTATTAAAGAGGATGAGAGGAATTAGGGAGAGATCATGTTTTGATTGATTGAGAATTAGGGTTTCTTGGCATTTAGGCTCTAGACTCTCTTGTCTAGAGATTTGGGAGAGACGATCCTCCTCTCGAATTGAGGATCACTTGCATATTGCTTTCATGTTGGTTTTGCTTTGTTTCGTTTATTGCAATCCATCATTTTGGGGCTGATTTCGCTTAGATTTTGCTCTATTCTCGCTGTTTTTCTCCAATTAGCGATAGGTTTGCTTGCGAACTCAAGTATTCCCTTATGGTTACTTGCGAACTCAAGTATTTCCTATCAAATTGGTATCAGAGCAAGTCTCGGGAATGGTGGAGGGTTGTTTTCAATGGATTCCAGCAGCAATTTTTCGCTCCAAATAGGAAGAAGTTGCTATTTTTTGACTCCAAAATCCTGTTTATGTGAATCTACAAATTCCGGATTGTGATGACGGCCAAAAAAGTTGATGCCTTGGAGGAAAGATTTGAAGAGGAGTTGAATCAAATCAAAATGACGGTGGAGGAAATGATTTCTTCCATGGAGGGACAAGTCGCCGACCTTCGAGATATGATGAAGAAAATGTTAGAATTCAAAATCAAACGGCGACTTTAGTGGCAAAAGGGATGGAAGGAAAAAGTAAAAATTATGAAATCCGTAGGGAGGAAGATGAGGTGGAGATCGTGGAAGGAGAAGGAAGAAGACCCCATATGGAGCATGTCCAGGGGGAAGAAAGACGAGGATATGGGGAACGCCAGAAGGGATATTATGGCCGCCGAGGTGCTGATTTTGAAGAAAGAATTGGAGATTTCGAAGGGAGTTTGGGCGATGGCAGAGCAAGGGAAGATCGAGAAATAGGGGTGGACCTAGCGCTTGGGAAAGGGGAAATTATGGAAGAATCAGGGGAAATGGTGGCGACCAGAAGGTGAGAAAGTTGAAGTTACCCATATTTGAAGGAGAAGATGTGTACGGGTGGATTTATAAGGTAGAGCGATACTTCGCCGTCAATGGGTTGACGGAGGAGGAGATGTTGACATTAGCGGGATTGTGCTTGGAAGGGAAAGCCCTGTCGTGGTTTTAGTGGAGAGACCATAGGAGGCCGATCAGGAATTGGAGGGAATTCAAAGACTGCATAATAGAGCGTTTCCAAACTGATCGGGGAGGAGACTTCCATGAGCAATTCTTTGCTCTGACATAGGAGGGATCAGTAGCAGATTACCTTGCTAGCAGGGTGGAGTGACTCTCAGATACAATATTGGAGGAAAATTTCATGAAATGGCTTAAGGCGGAGATCCGAGCAGCAGTGAAGGTTTTGATGCCCCGTGACTTGGGGCCTTGGGGGAGATCATGAAGTTGGCACAACTGGTGAAAAATCAGAGGAATTTGGAGAGGGGAGTCAGGAGTAGCAGCATCGGGGGCATGTACAGGATGACGTCCACTCATCTTGGACCTAAATGTCCTGCAATTGGAGGGAGTCGAGAGGCCACCAAGGAGAAGACAGGAGGAGGAAACAAGAGAAATTTCAAGTGATTGACGGAGAAAGAGATGTAGGAAAAGAGGGCTAAAGGGTTGTGCTTCAGGTGCGATGAAAAGTACACGCCAGGGCATCGGTGCAAGGATCGAACTATTCATGTTCTCACCGTCTGTGATGACGAGGAAACTAAGGAGGGAGGTGAGGAGGAGACAGAAGAGGAGATGGAGGAGAAGCTACACTTGGATTTGGCAGAGGTTTCCCTGAACTCAGTGGTAGGATTCACTACGAATCACACCATGAAAGTGAAGGGAGAGATAGAGGACAATGAGGTTGTGGTGCTGATTGATAGTGAGATTACTCACAATTTCATTTCCACCCAGGTCGTCGACCAACTGGGAGTGAGATTGGTTGACACCGGCTGTTACGGAGTGATGATGGGTACGGGGAAGGTGGAGAAAGGCCAGGAGATTTGCAGAGGAGTATGACTGACAATCCAGAGGATACATATGAGGGAAGACTTTCTTCCACTAGAGCTTGGGAACACAGACGTCATCCTGTGGATGAAATGGTTGCAAACTTTGGGAGATACCAAAGTGAATTGGGGAGCACTCACGATGAAGTTGATGGTGGATGGAAGGAAGGTAGTGATTAAGGGAGATGCAGGGCTTTCCAAATACCTAGTCTCTCTTAAAACGATGGTGAGGGACATTCAGTTGGCAGACGGAGGGTATTTGTGGAGCTGCTCAGTTTGGAGGGAGTGAGATTGGAGGAGGGAGGAGACATACCCCTCTCCATTCAGTCGTTGATTCAGCAGTTCCAAGAGGTGTTTCAGCCACCTCAGGGATTGCCACCACAGAGGGAGCAGGAGCACGCCATCGTGTTTAAGGAGGGAGTGTCGCCCATCAGTGTATGGCCTTATCGCTACCCTCAGTTCCAGAAGGATAAAATAGAAAGGTTGATTAGAGAGATGCTGGAGGCAGAGATCATCAGACCCAACATGAGTCCCTTCTCTAGTCCGATTCTATTGGTGAAAAAGAAGGATGACAATTGGCATTTTTGTGTGAACTACCGAGCACTCAACAAGGAGACTGTACCTGACAAGTTTCCTATACCAGTTATTGACGAGTTGCTAGATGAATTGAGTGAAATAGCGATCTTCAACAAGATAGACTTAAAATCAGGTTACCATCAGATTCAAATGAAGGAGGATGTGCCTAAGACAACCTTTAGAACTCATGAGGGACATTATGAGTTCTTAGTTATGCCTTTTGGCCTCATCAATGCCCCCACTACTTTCTAGGCCCTTATGAATAATGTTTTCAAACCTTATCTCAGATGGTTTGTACTTATATTCTTTGACGACATCCTGGTCGACAATAAGACAGAGGAGGAGCACTGGGAGCATTTGAAAATGGTGCTAGCGGTACTGCAGGAGCACCAACTAAGAGCCAACTTGAAGAAATGCTGCTTCGCGCAAGTCAGTATTGTGTACTTGGGCCATGTTGTGTCAAAAGAGGGGGTGGCGACATATCAGTCCAAAATTGAGGCAATGCTAATGTGGTCAGTGCCGAAGAATCTGAAGGAGCTGAGGGGATTTTTGGAGCTGACATGTTACTACAGAAGGTTCGTAGAGGGGTACAACCGTACAACACCATAGCATGGCCTCTCACTGAGCAGTTGAAGAAGGACAGATTCCTATGGGGGGAGGCGGCCACAACAACATTTGAGAGCTTGAAGAAGGCGATGACTACGGTCTCGGTCCTAGCCTTGCCAGATTTCACTCAAACCTTCATTGTGGAGGCCGCCGGCCCAAAGGCCGGCTCAAGTCTATAGGAGGCGGACTAGTTCCGCCTCCTCTACCGTGGCCGCCCAAAGAGATGGGTCCCACCCATCTATTTAATTTCAAATTTCAATTGAAGGGGGCGACTAGGGCTTTGGGAGGGAAAATTGATTAGGAAAGTTTTGTATTAAAGAGGATGAGAGGAATTAGGGAGAGATCATGTTTTGATTGATTGAGAATTAATGTTTCTTGGCATTTGTGCTGTAGACTCTCTTGTCTATAGATTTGGGAGAGACGATCCTCCTCTCGAATTGAGGATCACTTGTATCTTGCTTTCGTGTTGGTTTTGCTTTGTTTCATTTATTGCAATCTATCGTTTTGGGGCTCATTTCGCCCATATTTTGCTCTATTCTCGCTGTTTTTCTCCGATTAGCGATAGGTTTGCTTGCGAACTCAAGTATTCCCTTAGGGTTACTTGCGAACGCAAGCGTTTCCTATCAGATTCATATAGTTAGATATATTCAAAAATTGAATTGATATAACTAAAGGTAATTAATTAGGTTGTTTAATAATTTGAATTAATCCTTATCAAATGGTACAATATAAATCATACAATACGATTATTTCAAAATTTTAATATTTGAAACTAATGTAAATTGATCTTATATTGAATCAGAAATTATGACACTTTATATAGTACGATAAGTACCAATCTATATATATAATTTTTTAATTTCAATTTTAACTCTCGTTCGTGTATGTTTTGTTTTCTAATTTCTATGCTTGAACACAACAACATGGACTCAATAAAGTGAAAACATAATTTATGATTTGAGTAGTTTCATACTTTCTACATCCTAGGTAGATTAAATTATTGGCTTTGCTTGTCTTAGCATTGCTATGGCTACTTGCATGCATTGTTAATTTTGAGCTACAAATAATCCTTGAGTCTTGTATGTGCTCCTTGAAATGTACCTGTCATTATGAACTCTCTTATAGGTGTATTTGCAATGTTACACTAAAAGAATTTGCAATAAAGATATGTCCGTGAAAAGATAGGTCAACCAAATTATGTTTGTGATTATCAAGACACTATAGTCATGCTCTAGGCTCATGGGGTCATTAGTGTGTTTAGCATTATGATGTGAAAGCTAATTTAGTTGACTATATATATCATTTGTGTGCTTAATGAGGATGATCATGAGGCACTTCTATTCTCCTTGCACTCAAACTGACAAGTTTGCATGCACACCTTTACACAAGAGCCTATGCATGCATCTCAGTTGACTAGATTGTGATAATAATGCATTGAAATAGGATCAGGGAATTTATCATAAACATTTGCATGCTTTTAGTTGTTATTTGATGGGTGATTTACAACAACAACCACAAAGCCTTTATCCCACTATGGGGTCGGCTACATGAATCATTTTTATGTTAAGAGTTGAATTCTCATCTAAATCTAATAAAAAAATGTCTTTTCTAATATTTTCTAGCTTAAGTCTTTTTAGGTCTACATCTACATTTCTTAACATAAGTCAAATCTAATGCATCTGCTTTCCTAACCGGGTCATCGGAAGGCTTCCGCTTTATGTGACCAAAACTTCTAAGGCAACTCTCTCTATTCTTATCTTTAATTGGAGCTACTTCAACTTTTTCACGTATATGCTCATTTTGTATCCTGTCTCTAAGAGTAAAACCACTCATCCACCCGAACATTCTCATCTCTGCAACACTTAACTTAATATTATGCTTCTCTTTTAATGGCCAATATTATGCACCATAAAGCATTGCAGGTCTCACTACCATCTTATAGAATTTTCCCTTCAGTTTGATAAGGAATTTTCTATCACACAACAAGCCCGATGCATTCCTCCACTTCAACCATCCAACTTGAATTCCACTAATAATATCCCCATGTATTTCACCATCACTCTAAACAATTGACCCAAGATATCTAAAATGTGATGGGTGATTTACAAATTACAACTACTTTTTTTTTTTGGTTTAATGGAATTCTTCTCTAATGAAGGTGGTATTTGATTAAAGATTTTTGAATATTTAAGCGACATAGTTGCCCTTGTATAAGCTGATGAAACCAATATTCGATTAAATGAAATTTTTATTATCCTTCAAACGATATAAATTCTGAAGCTGGTATTGCAACATGTTTAGCTGATTGTAACTGGATCTAGATCCAATACTTCCACACACACACACGCATATATAATTACTTCTAAAGCTAATTTGATATATCAAATTCCACGTTTTAAGATAAATTAATTTGGTTATTAGCTCAAAATCTGATAAAATTAAATGTGCATGCTTTTACTAATTTTTTTTTTCACATGCATAAACATAAATTTAGACTTTCAAATCAAATTTAAGTAGTTTTGTTTTTTGTCTGTATTAATAAATATATATATTGAGTATTCACTGTCTTTATTTTTGAGTATGCACCTTTTCTGAAATTTGGTAGAATTCCGTAAATGCATTTTAATCCTCTGGTGTTCATTCCTTATAATAGGCGCATCTAAGAAAATTAACTTCTAATACGTTGTTGTGGACTCACTAGATATGTATAAGCTTGACTCCTACCATCGTGGATAGCATCTTGCAAAGTATAATGGAATTGAGCAAAATATATTCTTTTTGAAATCAAAACTTGCAGATAGATGTTAGCCATCTTATATATGGCTATACCTAATTAGCGTATTCACTCATTATATTCTCTTGGAGCCCTCACTTGACATTTGATTAGACGTTCATATCTTACTATTTTTGTACTGTTATTCAGCAGTTTTGCAGCATACATGAGCTATTTAAGCTTCTCTTTTCCTCCTAAATTTCCTTTGTCTGTAAGCTGTTTGATAACTCGTTACCTTTAATATGATTTGTTTGTGAATCTATTATTCGTCTTTAATATATAAGGAAGAGAAGTCAGAATACAAGTAGAGATTAGAATCATATGCAAGGGCTAGGAATTTGTTTTTGTCCTCCTTGGGAGAAAAGGCTGCACAATTTGAGGTAGGTTAGAGGCAGAATGACAGTAAGCTCAACATGAATTTTTTCATAGTAAAATTAATCAAATTGAGCTGTAAACAGTAATTCCAATCGCCTGCTGCTGATGAAACTGTTGTTGCCGTTGTTGTTGAATGATTCTATTCTTATTGCATGATCAAACCATTTTTTTTCAAATTTTGGCTGTGTGCTGCCATTAACGCATGAGTATTCTACTATTCTTGATGTTTTCCTAGAAAGGTTACTGATTCCCACTGTTTGTTTCCATTGCTGTTGAATGACACTATTCTTTTTCCATGATCAAACCTTTTTATTTTAATGTTGGCTGTGATCTGCTATTGACTCGTGAGTATTCTTAATGTTATTCTAGAAATGAGCCGCCCCCCTCCTGTTTTTTTATGTATATGCCTTTGCTTTTTAGATGTTTTACTATTATTTATAACTAAACTGTTATTAAATTACAAAACTATTGATATCCGTTTTCGTGCAATTGCACAGGAGATACATTCACTGATGATCAAAACGAGTTAGTTGAATCTGCAGCAGAGATGCTGTATGGACTGATTCACGCTCGCTACATTTTGACTAGTAAAGGAATGGCTGCAATGGTGAGATCCCCTATTCTTTTGGCATATATGGTTGTCTTTATCGCTGACTTTCCTTATTTTTTCTACAGCTAGAAAAGTTAAAGAGCTATGATTTTGGAAGATGCCCAAGAGTTTACTGCTGTGGGCAGCCCTGTCTTCCAGTTGGTCAATCAGACATTTCAAGATCCAGTACTGTGAAAATCTTCTGCCCCGAGTGTGAAGATGTTTATTACCCAAGATCAAAAAACCAAGGCAGTATCCTTTCTTCCTAGAAGCTTGATAAAATTTTATTTCTCTTTCTGAAAGGATAGATTCTTGCTTGTTTTATCTAATTGTCTGTTGCCAGTAATTTTAGCTCATGCTTGGTCTTTTTTAAAAGTTCTGGTGACCGAAATTTACTCTCTTCTAAGATAATCATGTTTAGTACCATGGTTAACAAAGCTTTGTGATAACGGAGTTGGAAATTTCAGTATACACTCTTCTACTAGCTTTTGGTTCTTTGGGTCGTGTTTGAACGTAGTGATTTTCATAAGAAATGAAAAATCCAATGGCATAAAGTTTTGTGATAACGGGGTGGGAAATTTCAGTATACACTCTTCTACTAGCTTTTGGTTCTTTGGGTCGTGTTTGAACGTAGTGATTTTCATAAGAAATGAAAAATCCAATGGCATAGGGAAAGTTTAGAAAGTATTGTATGTTAGGAAAATCATGATAATAGGTTAATAGCAATGTGTGTAGAGATTGTTATGACTAAAAAGTTTGTGAGGGGTGGTAATTATTAAGTTAGTATTTTGTGAGATATTATAAATTTAAATGGTCCTTATGCTATTCAAGTTTGAACGCAGTGATTTTCGTAAGAAATGAGAAATCCAATGACATAGGGGAAGTTTAGAAGCTATTGAATGTTGGGAAGATCAATGATAATAGCAATGTGTGTAGAGATTGTTATGAATAAAAAGTTAGTGAGGGGTGGTAATTATTAAGTTAATCTTTTATGAGATATTATAAATTTAAATGAACCTTGTGCTATTAAAGTTGATTTAAAAGAGAATTTGAAATAGTAACTATTAGAATAAATGTTTGTACTACTATGTGTATACATAAGTGAAGAGGATAATCAATCGGGGTGACTCAAATATATATGTATGATCCATCTCCAACAAGATGGATCATGAGAATATTAAGATGGATATGAAGTAGGAGATAAAAGGTATGAAGGGAGTCATTATATTTACTTTTT